TTGTTTCCTATATTTACAGGAATGTGGGTGAGAAACAGAAGTTTTTTCTTTTGAACGAGAGGGACCTCCGTCACCNTGATGCCCACCTAATTCTAATTAACATTTTTTTAAAGGTGATTTCATATCCGTCGTAACAAGCGGAAACCAATACAACTCCCTTACATATACAATTAACTCTGCGGGTTACCAGGATATAACAAAAATGACGTTACTTTGCATAATTGGGCAGATATATTGTTTACGTGCTTGTGTATACATATATATTACATCTACCTGGTTATAGACCAAAACTGTAATAGGTGTTAGTAATTTAAGTTTCAACACTAATTATATTAACCTTTTATGTAAATTCAAAGGTCAAGGAAACATGTAGAGAAGATGGCGTGAAACGCGCAATTACATGTAAAGAAGTAGATGAATTCTAAAAAGAAAAAAACTGACAGGATGAAATGTATAAGAGTATTTAATTTGTAGAGCTAATTTGATTTATGTTCAGCAAGATGATGAGAAAAATGTGTTTTGTCTTGCAGTCTTCTCAAGAACGCAAGATCAAGGCTGTGACTTCATTTTCAAGAACAAAACCACGTTTTCCAGACTGAGATAAGTTGCAACAATCGTTGCTATTGAAAATAAAAACAGTTGATTTTGGATTAGTAAATACATATATATAATAAGGTCTCCAAAACAATCTAACACGTGAAGTCTTATGAAGCTCAGGATTCTGGTGTTTCGTGAAGCTATCTGCTACCGACGCTTTCTCTTCCAAGGTATAGGACATCTTCAGTGCTCTTGTTATGCTGGTGGATGGTGTCAAACAGAAGAATTGATTTTAGATTTCAAATTTCAAGCATCATGTTCTTCTGTTTTGAATTAACAATCAACATTAGAAGTGCTCCAATCGTGGAAGTAACGTTATAACAGGTAACTTGACGAGCTAAAATTCCTGAATTCTGATTTCACAAAACCATACATGTTACCATATAAATTAATGCATTGATCCTTAAGTGTTATTTTGCATTGTCAGTAATCTAAGGGGAGTCAAACTTCAAGGTATGTATTGTAAATAGTTCCTTCGTCACGAAAATCGTGTCAAAAAAGTTTTCCCGCTTTTACCGAGTGCGTTTTAAGTTGCCCTCCATTATCAGTCCCTAAAACGCATAATTACAATATTACAATTAAAAAACAATTTGTTCTTGTAATGTAACTACAAATTTGCAGTGATTTCATATCGATCGTAACAAGCTTTGCTTTCTTCCCTTTACTTGTGCTAAGAGACATTACCTATAATAAAGTTTCATAATTTTAGGTCAACGGGAGATACCCTATAGCAGCGGTCGGGGAACCGGAGTAAAAAGTATATATTTTTAATTTGCTATTTTGTAAACCTGTTAGTATTTTTTTCAACTTAAACTTAAAAACGAAGAACAGAAATCGATTAAACGCCAAAGACTGTATTCAAATCGCTCTTACATCAAAAAGTTCCAATTTTGAAGCAATTGTATCGAACATCATTTCTCCAAAATAAAAAATATTTTTTATGGGGGCTATATATAAAATTTAAACTAGTTTTTTCGTCTAATAATACAAGAAAAATATCATATGAATTACAAAATAACAAGAAACTATCATTTACTTATATTTTCTGTGGAGGCGATTTTTTTTTTCCTCAACTGTATATTACATATATTACTATTATTACCGTTATGTATTACTAGGTATTACATTGGTAAATTGAATAAATGATGTCTAAATTAAATTTTTAGTTATTGTTTTCTTTTCAAAATTATCATGGGGGCTACAATATGAAAGATGGTAAAAAGAGGCGATTTCGTTTTTTTTTGCTCTTCGCCATGGGGTAGTATCAACTTACACAAAAATATTTTGGGGTAATGATTAAAAAAGTTCCCCGACCGCTGCCCTATAGGTTCTGATATTCCTATACGAGTGTCAAAATATGAGACATAAACGACAGTAGTTTTTGATTGCGTTAACATAGACTTTTACACAGCTCCACGAAATTGCAGATCCTGGGAAAAAGTGTATTGATAGACACACAGACAGACAGAGTGATCCTAAAAATGAATACAGGGGCAAACAAGCTTATTCACTATATTATTTATATTCTCGCTTGTAATACAGTAAGCATTGTCTTTTTTTTTATTTAAAAGCGCAAGCTTCATGTTTATGGATTGAGGTTAGTTTTAGATACAATGCGATTTAATCAGATCCATCAAAAGTTAATATTCCTTTAAGTAGCACGACTGTTAACTATGAATAAACAAATTATAACTGAAATTTACAGTTCCGTCCTTATAATTTACGACAGATTGCAGTAGTTATCTTCATCGTTTTTAAAAGCACGTCTTGCATCGAGTTCCCACGATCAGGAAAGGGGAACACAAATTACTTCCGGTAGGCGCAACCCTGAATCGATTACAGCTAATACTTAAAGTAAGAGACGAGCAATTCAAATTTCTTAGGTAGAGTACTGCTTATGTTTGTTGTATGTGACCATCAATTAAAATCTATCTTTAAGGCAAATTCACCCATATGTTTAATTATGATTAAATAACATAATATTATAATTAAATAGAATATATCTAAGCCAATCATAATGGGCTAATAAATATGGATTCTTTGTAAGATAAAGTTTGGTCATACAACAACCACCATACTCACACCCCAAGAGGGATTTCAAAAATAATCAAGACAGCACCACTGACGGCGTGGTAGGTAGTAAAGACCACTTCTATCCGATCTCAATGACATAATGAATAGTAAACTTTGTATATTGCAGCAAAGGAATTACACTTTAACTTATTATATGCCCTATTTCAAAATCTCTCTTCGTCCTCATGCTACGCGTTAGTGTGCAAAGCGAAATAAAATTCTTCTAGGTAATTTTAAAAACCACAGGAACATTTACGCTTATTATAAGATAATCGCATATTTTGGTGTACCCATTTTCCGGCTTACTTATTTCGATTGGTCATTTTTCCGGCATTCAGAACCTCCAAATTCTTTTCAGGGTGAATTTTTCCGTAATCTATTTTCCGATGCACTTTCTCTCCAGCTTTTCGTTAAAATTATACAATCGTACTGTAAACCTGCCTATGAGTCAATTCGTTTACAGACACATATGATTATTAACATTCGTTCCTGTAAATCATGTGTTTCTTTTGTTTCAAGATGTTTTGACTTGACGGTCCCCTTCCAACCCCTATTTTATATGTAAATATGTGTACTTAATTGAACAATTAGAGGGATGGGGGATTGTTATTCACCTTAAGGATGTTTGGAAGGTACAATCGGAGACAAGAGTACATAAAGTAAGAAATTCGTGATTAATTAAGTTTTGCAGCATATCATGAGGTAAATAAATGCTATCTATACTAAAAAGAAGTATGCGGTTTGAGAGAAAATTTGGAATTTGACCAAAAACTTTGAATAAAATAAGAAATAACGAATAATATGGAAAATTTTTAACTGACTATTGACTATTGGCAGTGAATATGCCTTGATTTCAACTTCGAAACAAAAAAATATTTAGTTTCAATCTTTATTAATAATGAGCGTAAAACTTTTTAATATGTTTAAATAATAATTAAAACTTTAAAATTGCATTTATTTCAGACAATTATAAATATTATCATTGTATTATCAAGTAAAAACGAGATTTTCAACTAATTTTTCATTTTTTCCTCGATAACCATTTAGTGAATTTGAATAACCTTACGCTAAAGTGATTCTCCAGAGTTCAAGTTACTTATTATAAAAGTTTGAAATTTCTGGTAGCTTTTTTTCTGTTAATAAAAATAAATTAATCTGTTTGGTTAACGAATCTCCATAAAATGACGTGTAAAATTACAATTTTTTAAAATTTCAATAACTTTTTAACGGTTTAGTGATCGATCTGTAATTTTTACGGGAGCTTTAGAATTGAATGAGGAACGTTCTTCCAAATTTTTATTTGTCTCGTAGCATTTTGACGTACCTCCCAAACATCCTTAAATAACCTACCTAGCGTAACACAACATAAACTAATCTAACTTAAATCGACCTTTAAACAAAATTATTTGTACACATGCATAAATATTAGGTACCTTTGTATATTTATCTTAAGTAAATTTGACCATTTGGTAGGAAAATTTTCGAACGGAATTATTTACTAACGGAAACATATGACTGTCTTAACCCTTTAAAAGTAATTTTAACGACAATAAATAGCGTATGAAACTTTAAAATGAGAGACAGTGTTAGTATAGGTATACATATAAAGATTACGGTTAAAATTTGAACCAGAAGTACACGTGCAACATTATGAATCATAACTTTATCGAATTCTGAATGATACCTAATTTTCATTTCCTACACAAGATTGATACAATCAGTGTATTGTGTTACTACAAATAAAAGTCGATGTTCGTAAGCAATCCACCCTGTGCAACGAAATGTATTTATGGACTGCATTTAGAATTAACTGACGCAAACATGTAATATTTCAGGCTACTACCGTCGATGGAATACACACCCATGTACCAGAGAAATTAGCAACAGTTTCTCTAGCTAACCTCCGGGTTTTAGGTTGTATGATTTCTTCCTAAACCAGGAAGTAATTAACTACGAGTGGAATTTATCCATAATTACGAAACTATTAGTGCATGATTGCGATTTTATACGGATAGAAAGGGAACATAGGTACAATACAGAAGAATGGCTTGCATTTTCTCATTTGAGTAAGATGGTAATGTTCTTGTAATAGGCATCACAAAAGTAAGAATATACCAAGAAAAAAAAAATACAAAAAAACAGAAGTAGTTTAACCAATTTAAGTATATGTGAGGAATATAACGTGGGGTTTTAAATCATCGCTTTATGTATGTATATATTCATCCGGGTAGAAATAATATTTGTCACCTTTTCCAATGACATTGTTTTGTCGCGGAACTGAATCCAAGGGAAATTATTTTGTTGAAAATAAACAACGAAGATATCAAAACGAGAATTAACTTTTATATTTTAAAATGCGGAAAACAAGACTACTTCAATACATGTTGTGCTTACTACTATCTATTACTGACTAAACTAAACATAGCAAATTTTACTTATTCTTATTTCCACCACGATAGGTAGACTAAACAAATCAAAAACACAAATGCTGTTGTGCAAGACATCGCAGCCCCCAGCGCGGCACTTGCCTTTGAGCTAGACACCGCTCGTATCAAACAGACATGACAAAACATGCAAAAAAAACAACTAAATCCTTACAAATTCAACATCCTCCCCACCTTGAGATAAAACGCATTATTTATCTCAAAAAACAAAAAAACATTAATAATAAACGTAACTAACACTAGTGACTAATTAAAATACATTAATCGTTCGACTTTCTTAACCTTTCTGCCAGTCTTAGTTACATAGGGTTCTTTACATTCAACTGGATTCTCTTTATTACCTTCAATTGATTTGATACATTGGACTTTATTTTCCGATATGTCTTGTTCCTCTTGCACAGAGTTTTTCACGCAATTGTTAACACTGTCATAATTTAATTCTAACGGAAAAACCTTTTGTATCGGTCGCACTAACTCGCCCGAAGCTGTCGTTAATCGCACCACACGAATAATTCCATCTTTGCCTGGAATCACATCCGTAACCTTAGCCAATGGCCACTCAAGTCTCTTAGTGTTATCACTTCCTATTAACACAATATCCCCTACACTAATCTTATCAGTATTTTTTACATTAGCTTTTTGTTTTACTAACATTCCTAAATATTCACTCCTAAATCTGCGTCTTAACTCCTCTTTCAACTTTTGCCTATACGCATACCTTTTATTTATTTTATTTGTTTCAATAATATCTAAGTCCAAAACCCCTATCTCTTTTATTTCCTGTAAGAAATCCGATGGAGCCAATGGTTTGAACTCAGTCTCAACATCTGACATAAATGTTATCGGTCTTGAATTAATTATAGCCTCACAATCGACTAAAACAGTTGACATTTCCTCATAATCCAGACTTGTTCTTCTAAGGGTCCGACGTAATAATTTTTTCAGAATTCCTATAAGGCGCTCCCAAAATCCTCCCCACCACGCCGCAGTGGGAGGATTAAATCGCCATTCTATTTTTTGTAGTGCAACGGTACTTCCTAACTTTTTGTAGTCTAATTTGGTTAATTCGTTATTAAGCCCCTTGAAATTTGTACCGTTATCGCTGTAGATAATGCTGGGCCTGCCCCTTCTAGCTATAAATCGTCTAAGTGCCATGAGTACTGCCGCTACATTTAATGAATTTACTAACTCCAAGTGCACAGCTCTAAAAACTGCACATGTGAAAATGCATATCCAAGCCTTTTTCGCGCTTTCGAGATATACTGGCCCGGCAAAGTCTATACCAATCACCTCAAATATCGCCGCGTCCCTAACGCGATTTAATGGTAGTGGTGCCGGAACCGATTTTAAAGGCTGGGCCTCATAACGACGACATACTACACATTTTCTAATTACGGATCTAATTATTCGCCTACCCCCTAATATCCAGTACTTCTCTCTTAATGAATTTAATGTAATCTGTACACCAGCATGATTTAAATTCTCATGTTTGTCTCTTACAATCAAAGTAATGATACTAATATTATTGGGTAGAATATATGGACACTTGAAATTAAACGAATCTTCTCTGAGTACAATTTTTGTTTTTACGCGAACTAAACCATCTTCATCCGTAAATAACATAAACTGTTTATTGGTTCTATTCTCAAAATCTGTTAAATTTTCTTGGCACATTTTTAATACGCTTTTCTCTGCGGCCATAATTTCCGCACAGCCTAGACTGTCTTCATGTAATTTACCTGAACTATTCCTACAATTGTTTATAAATCTTTTTATCCATGCAACTATACGTAAAACCTTAGAATAATTCGAAAACTTTTCCAAAACTTTTAATAATTTAGGCTCAGCTGATATTGCAACTAAACAACTACTGTTGCCATGCTTTGCACTCTTTTTCAATTCAGATTGTATTTCTTCCTCATTATACAATAGATCGACGTTACTATTCGGCCAATCCTCAGAATCTCTATATAACCATTCCGGCCCATCCCACCAATGCGATGATAATAAACGCTCTACAGTACACCCTCTCGAAGGAAGGTCAGCGGGATTCAAATTACCCGGAACATGCCGCCAAGATTTAGGATCTGAGATTTCGCGGATTTCTTTTACACGATTATGAACAAATGTACTCCAGTTGTGTTCACGATGTATCCACGCTATTACCGTCGATGAATCTGACCAAAAATGAAGATTTACAAATTTTGTATTTAACATTCTTGTCGTAGCGTCAGCCAATCTCGCTCCAACGTTTGCCGCCAATAATTCTAAACGTGGTATACTATTACGTACATTTTCCTTACTTTTCATAGGAGAAACTCGCGATTTAGCTTGTACGAATCTAACTTTGACTCCTTCACTATCTTTTATGCGAATAAAAATAACAGCCGCGTATGCCGATTTACTTGCATCGCAAAATGTATGCAAACTAATTTCATCGTGCGAATCCGTTCCTCCGATGAGACAACGCGGTATCTCTACTTTATTTAATTCAATAATTCCCTCGTACCATTTTATAAAGCGAGTTTTAATTTCAGTACCGACGTCGTCATCCCACGTGAGATTTCTTGCCCATACTTCTTGCAATAATATCCGCGGACCAAGTGTTACGGGACAAACAAAACCCAACGGATCAAAAATACGATGTACGCAAGACAAAATATCTCTTTTAGTTATTTTCTGTAAATCTAAATTTTCTAAATTTTCAACATTTAAAGATAATACATCTCGTTTCTTATCCCACATAATGCCTAAAACCGGAGTGATACTCTCTGTGGAAACATCACCATTATATTCCCAACCGCGAAGATCAAAACCTGCAAGCTCCATCGATTTCCTCGCCTG